GAGTTTGCAGTGTTGTTTTCGCTGCTGCCTGAATTGTTTGCTTGGCTGTCCCACACAAGCTCCATCGCGCAGAAACCCTAACCCTACTACTTACTATAACAGCACTAAGTTTTACTAAATAGACAGACAAAACGCTCAGCGTCGCTGCGCAAAGTATATAAGAATTGAGTTTGTATGAGATATTTTTTAATTTAGGCCCAAAGTAATGGCGGGTTGGTGGTGTTAGGGTAACGTGGGGGACCACCAAAGCAGATCGCTTAAAAGGGGTCAAACCCTAACGCTAAGCCTCTTTTGCCGCGGTTCGGTGTCCTCCCCGCGCCCTTATCTTGGCTAGGCTGCTCTCGCCGTGCTTCTACTCCATGCAGTCAATGCCGCACTTCTGCATCCAGTCTACTAGATCCTCAATGAGCGCTCAGTACGGCACCACGACCACCATCACCCCAGCGTCGTCCATGCAAGCCGGCACGCTAAACAGCAAGCTCTTGCCTCCACCAGTCAGCAGCACGACGACAAGCGGCGTCTGCCCATCGATTACTGCGTGCAGCGCCAGCTCCTGCTCTGCGGATCGAAACCCAACGTCCTGCTGACCAAGTACTTGCTGCATTGCCTTGCGGACTGCCTTCTCTTTCTTGTCTCTATGCAGCAACGCGGCTTCCCTGCCCTAATTATCCTTATTCCTGTTATTATTATTGCTGTTAATGCCACTGTGCCTACGTTTCTTCGCCCTCCTTATTAGATTATTGTTGCCTGTCTAACATCTCCTACAGTGTTACTATGAGCTCCTTCTGCTTAACTGTCTAGCAGAACAGCTCTTGCGCGTCTTTTATTAAGTCCTTCTCTCTTTAGCTGCTGCTTAGGACGTTTGCTAGTCAGCCACTGTTAGTATTAGAGAAGTTGTTGTTGTTATTCTCTTCCTCTTCTTCCTCTTCCTCTTCCTCTCCTTCTAAGCCATCCTTGTCGCCCTCATCATCTTTGTTGCTGCCCTCGTTGCCGCCTTCCTGCGCTGCCATCCTTGCCTCTGCGTCAGCCACGAAGCGCAGAGCGTAGCAGACAAATTTAACCATGTAGCCAGCGTAGTAGGCCTGACTCTCTAGGTTCTGTAATTAAGCTATAGGCCGCTGATCAATCTCCTGTTGCTTCGCGCTCCTTAGCCACCGCCTTGTCTCTCGCGCAAGTGTTAACAGCCCCTTGACGCTTCTCTCCACCAGCAGCTCCGTTAGCTTCGCTGCCTGCCGCAGCTTCTCCTCACCTCGATCGGGCAGCCAGGTCTGATGCGCAAGATGCATCAGATTGTGGTCAGCAAAGTGCTCTAGCCAGCCTGTCCGCTTGAACTAGCTAGTTTTATCTGTCTTTACAACTTTAGTGTCTATAACCTGCGCCTTCTCTTTATTTGCGTGTTTTGTTAGCGTCTATTCTGCTAGTTACTCCCTAACAACATCTGTTATCTTATAGGGGTTAGATAGTATGTAATTATTGTCTACTACCTTAATAACAAAGTATTGCTAGAGCCTACTAGTTTAGAAGAATGTCTGCGCTATAACCTTCTTACAGAGTCTAACGTCTTTACTGCTCTAAGCTGTCTAGTGTACGTTGTTGTAGTGCTTCTGCATTCTGATCTTGTTTGCGGTATAGAAGCCGCAGTCGCTAGTGATCCTGCATTAATAGACGTCTAACGGCTCGCCTAGCTGCTCAATCAGCGGCCCCAACGGCGCAGGCAGCTCAACATCTTGCGGTGCGGCGATCTGCCATTGCCGGCAGTGCTCTACAATTGATTTCCTCTCTTCGCTTGCTACGCCGTGCTGGTCGCGCAGATGCACATCGACGTTCTGTATGCCTGTAGCGTGCTCCTTGCAGATTAGCACCTGATAGCGCTGGAGATAGCAGAAGCGCTCTTGCACGTTGTTGATTGTTATCTTGCTTGCGCGCGGTTGCTTGCGGTGCTGCGTTGTAGTTATTGTTGCAGGTGGCTGTGCGTTCTAGCAGAACTCTATGCCTAAGATAACCCTAAGTGTAGCAATGTAAGCTAAGAAATGCAGAAACAAAAGTTGCGGCGCGATAGAGTGTATGATTTTTGGCAGGTTTTGTATAGAACATGTTCTGCAAGCAGTGCAGCTTAGGGGTATAATTAGGGGTTAAAGACACAATGTTTGCCCCCTATTGCAGGCCTGATTTGGTTGCACAACCCTAACACTACACCTATTTTAGCAATAATTGGGCCTAAGCATGCGCGTTATATAGGTTAGGCTGCAGAAGGGGTAGACCAGCGAGAGAGCTGGGTGCTGTGCTGCTGGTTAGTGTGCTTCTTAATCCAGGTGTAGCTGGTGGTGATGAAGCTACAGCTTGTACGGTTGCTGCTGCTGCTGCTAGTGGTGGTAGGGGTAGTGGTGGTGGTGTCGGGATGGTTGTCATCAGCACCCTGCTGCGCTGCTTGGCAGCAGAGGAAGGCGCTCTGTTGCAACTGTGAGGCGCTGTATGGATTGCGCGCAGATGGCCC